CACGGCCTGCGGTTACAGGAGACTTACCACCCGAACGGTTAGGGGCGTTTGCGCGACCATTCACGTACACCGGAGTCGACTATTTCGGGCCTCTGATAGTTACGATAGGACGACGGTACGAAAAACGGTGGGTAGCACTATTCACGTGCTTAACGACGCGCGCGGTTCATTCAGAACTAGTTTACTCCCTGACAACGGACTCTGCGATATCGGCATTGCGGCGCATGGCGGCTAGGCTTGGGTGGCCACGGATTATATACTCCGGCAATAGCACAAATTTTCATGGGGCAAATACAGAACTGCAACGGGCGATGGAAGAGTGGGCACCGCAGCTGAAGGATTACGCGCCGACTTGGCGAACCGAATGGAAATTCATCGCACCGGGCGCACCTAACCAGGGAGGCGCATGGGAGCGTCTCGTACGCTCAGTGAAGACCGCACTCGAAGCCACTCTACATCAAAAGAGCCCACGGGAGGAGACGTTAGTGACGCTCCCGACAGGAGCAGAGAACACAGTAAACTCTCGATCGTTGACGCACGTACCGGTCGATGTTAACGACGAAGAGGCGCTGACACCCAACCACTACTTCATACTGTTGGGACCATCGGGCCTACCAGTCACCGCGCCGTGCACACCCATGGGTCGTCGGGCGTGGAGAGCAGTGCAGGGGCTCACCGACGAGTACTGGAGGCGCTGGGTGAAAGAGTACCTGCCGACGCTGGTTGCGCGCGGGGACTCCCGAGATGCTCAGCGGCGCCAAATTCAAGAAGAGGACCTCGTCGTGGTTGCGGACGGCAAACTATCAAGAAACGTGTGGCCGCGGGGTGTCGTAACGAAGACATTTCCTGGACCGGACGGCGTGGTGCGCAACGTCGAGGTCAGGACCAAGGGCGGAGTGCTGCGGCGACCCGTCAGGAAGACAGCCGTCCTCCCGAGGGAAGCTTAGGCTCGCAGGCTACGCCGTGGGGAGGATGTTACGGACGGCGAAAGAGGCCGCCGCCCCGTCGCCCCTTCATACCCCGTTGCGCCCCGCGCACCCCGCACACCGGCAGCAGATCACGCGATGTCGCCGTCCAATCAGCCCGCGGCATCGCCTCACGACGCTACTCACATACGCTATAAGATGCTCTCTTGCGAGATATAAGAAGGGCGTTTTGGTCTGTGAGGTGTTCATTTCGAAAGCGGCACTCGAAGACAACAAGAGAAGAAATCTCAAGAGAAACCATCAAGAGAGAAGAATTTATACTCCATTGAAGACTCCCCTCTGTGTATATAGTTAATTAGTGAAAGCCGCATTTGTAAATAGTTTAATACAGTATAGTTCTACAGTACCATCTTTTCTTTGAGCAGTCCCCTAGCGTAGTATACCTCAGTCAATCAGTCAGTCGTACAGTCCACTTGCAATAGTAAATTCATACAGTCCACTACAATCCCTTATAATAGTGAAATTACAGTTCGACCACACCGTAACACGTCTCCGCTACAATCACACACCAGTGTAACGTGAGGTACGAAATTACATGATAACACCAAGATATGTAAACCAATAGCAACTCTACTTATCTCAATGTAACAGGACAGCATCTCAGCAACACAAATCCTCCTTGACTGTACTAGAAGAATTACAACAACGAACAGAACCACGACACTATCTTAGCACTAGTAGAGTGACCGCACTCGTTGAATGACTTGAGCAGAATCTCTCGGGTACCACACCTACAGTGAACTTTATACTGCACAAACAAGCGGGGGTTTCTCGATATACCCTCCATTCCACCTCAATCCAACTGATATTTTATAGACGCTCCGACATGTATTTTGATTTTACAAGTGCTTACAAAATTAGCTATACCTATATATATATATATATATATATATATATATATATGCCAATACACATTTAAAATCTTTTTTGCCATAGTTGCCACGCTGAGCAGGTTTGCTGTCAACCACAGAAAACCAGCGTAAAATAGCAGCTTAACGCTGCTGTGTTTCGTATGGTGAGTGTAGAGAACCGGAGACCCTTTTTACTGGCAAAGAGGCATTCCATCTTAGTCCTCACGGGTGACAACGCATCTGCATCTTGAGTCCTTATTGAGGATAGATGTAGATGTCTATGGGTCACAGTAACCACTTACCATCAGGTGGACTGTGTGCTCGTTTGTTACTAGATCCTATAAAAAAAAAAAAAAAAAAAAAAAAAAAAAAAAAAAAAAAAAAAAAAACCGCAGTTATTAGGAAGACACTGCAACCCATCTACCTACTGGTTAGTTACCATTCTGCCACCTATTACGACACCCACGGGACGTGGTTGGTTGAATATTCTTATACCACTACTACACATAATAATCGTAGTTAATATACATTTAAATTTGCCTTTTGAGCTCTTAATAAATAATTAAGGGTTCGAGCCGCTTCTTTACTGACGTGTCCCCGAGTACTTTTGTTGGAAGCAAAAGTTCTGTTTGCCAAGTTAATTTAATTATAGAGATAAAGGAAAGAAAATCTTCGTATGATAATGAAGTCAAGCTATTTCGACGATAACAATACTTTTTAACCGCTTAGAAAAGTTGATATCACGATGAAAAAAAATGTTTAGCATGAGGGATATTATAAAAAAAAATACATCTTTCTTTTTTCGTTTGGTGGTTTTATTTGCTTTAGAATCCTTTCATTCCAACAATTTTTGCACACCTCTCGTACGATATAAAAACCATGGGGAAATGTGGCAATAGTACCATGCCCTCATTTGCATATTATCTACTCTGGCAATCTATCGTCAACTTTTTCTTTCAATGCTACATAAAAATTACAAAGCTGTCAATGGCAATGTTGTTCCTTTTGCCTATGAGTCCGTATGGGTAGGTACCAGTACCACTTTATTTCCTATTTCTGCCGCCAAATAGCAGTGCTTACATTACTGTTTCAGTTTTAAGGGTAAAGAGAGCCAGGCTCACAGGCTGTAAGGTATTCCATCTTATTCCTCAGGGGTGACAACGCATCTGTAGTCTTGTGCATAAAGATGGTTGGCTGCATAGCCTTACCATCAAATGGACTGTAAGTTCGTCTATTACTTCAGTTTTATAAAATATAATGAAGTTTGTACTTCAGCGAGTAGAATATCCTCATTTTTTTTGTGGAGGCTCTGTCTCAAATTTCGTAACGGCGGTAAAGTGACTTGTAAGGCTAAATCGATTAAAGAAAATACCACCATAAAAGAACCATAATTGTAGTAACTTATAATACGCCGCACTATACTCGACTTTGTTCTGGTATCCGAAATATTAGACAATACAGGCCTAATTGCTCAAAAGCATGTTCATTGGCACTGCCGTTGAATCATGTTCTCACAGAACAAAAGCGTTCTTTTTTTATTTCTAAAGATTCATATCTATTGCTGAATTCTAATTAAGAACAGGTACTTAATACCTATTATAAATGACGCATTTCTTGTAGGACTTGTTAATTCTCACTGCTAGGGAAGCATTAGGCGAATTAATAAATATTTAATACCACAATATAATAAATTAAAAACAATATAATAAAAAATATAATAAATTATTACTAATAGTGGGTAAACTCCTTTGTTATACTGCAAAATATCTACAAGATTGTCTCGACGTCAAGTCGCTAAAAATATGCATGGGTTGTCACAAAAACATTTCCTTTGATAATAATATCATAACATTATATTTTATCAGTATTCCTCGTAATAATTTCTTTTTCTATACAAAGATACAAATTAATTACTACTTTAGAAAACTAGTTGCGTCCTGTAACTTCATCTGATTCGTCGTGATGGAAACAAAGGCTTGTGCTGGTAGGTACCTACCTAATTTTACTATATTTACCTATATAGCAGTATCTTAGGTATTCCGCTTAAAATATTGGATAGGGGGTTGAACATAATAAATATAACTGGTTAAAATTATACGTTGGTTCTGTTTATTCAACCACCTCGTTACAGATGTGCAACTGGCAAATATTTACGACATTTATTATTGGCTTTTTTAATTGCCTTTTGTTGTATTTAATGATATAATGAATTCTCATACATATAATTCAATTAAAAATCGAGATGGAAAGCAATTACATGGTCATTAGAATTCAATTTTACTTAAAGCGTCCTACAATCGTTCCCAACATTTAAAAATAATATGATTGCTAGATACGATTTCATGCGATAAAACATTGGAATCTTAATTTTAGGCGCTAGTAGAACATACCTACGCGCTTTGTGCTTAAGGCTTTCAACAATACCGAGTAATATCGTGTTGCAGTGTGAACACCAAACGCATGCAACTGATTCCTTGTACGTGACACTCCTAAACGGGCGTACCGGTACGCAAGCAAAGCCAACCGGTACTACCGCAAACGTCGCGTGCAGGGGGAGGGGGGACTCCACTCTTCTTCATACAGCGCCCTATCGTTGCTCCGTCTAATCGCAGAGTTGACTCACTATTAGTATTTATTACACATATGGTAATACTTTGCACTGGTTTGTGATTTGAACGGTTGCTAAAGCTTAGTCGGTGTAATCAAAAGAGTGCATGTGTTACTTAAAAAAAAAAGCACCCCAAGCGCCATCTACTTTTAAAACACTATTGGGAATATAGCTGTTGTTTTTATTTCTTTGTGCACATTATTGCGCGTTTTAATAAACATTTTAAATTTCAAATATCAATGAAATTATCTGAACGCTAAAATAAAAGTTAAAAAATTATAATGTATTTATTATAAAATGTATACATGTAACTGAAAAGAAAGTCCCGCCATTACTTTAATTTAAGCTGTCTTTACATACAAAGCGAAAACAATGACAAATATTAGTTCTCAATATTTAAAATGTACAATATTTTAGTTCACAAAGTAGGCAATGAACATATTAATATCTTATACCTAGATAACTAAAACAAGACTCATTTCGTATTAGCGTGATGATTGTATTAAACTTTGATCCAGCTCGACTCATTTAATTCATTTAAGTATTTGTCTAAGGTTAAGCGACGTCGTGGATGCCGAGACGGAATATATCGTGCTGAACGAAGAATGAATCACCAAGTGGTTTTAAGACAAACGTCTGCATGTACGGGTGTGGGGGGTCTTCATCGCACTGAAAACAAAAATATCAACAATTATTAAAACATATAAATGAATCGTATTTTTTAATATAGTTATTCAGTGGCTATTTGATATTTTTCACTGTAAGAATATGTAAACTTAGCATTGATCTAATTGTGAACAAGCAGATAAGTAACTACGCGAAATAAGTGTTTGAATTAAAACAAATAAAATACTGGGTGTCTCAGTAAGAGTGCACTTTTTCATTTTAAAATAAAAACAAGTATTTTATGACAGAGTTGTGATATTTTTATTGTATTGTAAAGAAGACATGTTCCGATTAAGTATGGAATAAAATATCCGGCAAATGACCCCCACGGCTCCGATGACAGGCCATTACTCTTTTCATGAAATTTTCCATGACTTTTGCACAGAGATGTGGCTGTATCTCACCGATGACGCGTTGGATTTCCGATTTGAGCTCAGGAATTGTTTCGGGTTTATTCGCATAAACCCGAGATTTCACAAAACCCCAAAGAAAAAAAATCGCACGGCGTTAAATCACACCATCTTGGTGGCCAGTTGACATCAGAGTTTCGTGAGATAATGTGTTCTGGAAATCGTTGCTGTAATTAGTCGATTGTTTCATGCGCGGTGTGGCAGGTTGCGCCGTCCTGCTGAAACCACATGTTGTCCAGATCCATGCCGTCTAGTTGAGGCCACAAGAAGTCCGTTATCATATTCCTGTAACGAATGCCGTTCACAGTCACTGCAATTTTGGCCTCATTTTCAAAAAAGTAAGGTCCAATCACGCCGCCTGACCAAAATCCGCACCAGACAGTTACTCGTTGTGGGTGCATTTGTTTCTCATGGATTGCATGAGGATTTTCTGAGTCCCAAATTCGACAATTTTGTGTATTCACGAAGCCATCCAAATGAAAATGCGCTTCATCGGAGAAAATAACTTTTTCCGAAAAATTGGTATCGACTTCACTTTGCTCCATTACCCATTGAACGAATTGCCAGCGCTTTCTGTGGTCTGCTGGTTTGAGCTCCTGAGTTAACTGAATCTTGTACGCATGAAGGTGGAGGTCTTTAGTCAAAATTCGCTGCGTAGTGCTTCGTGAAATTTGAAGTTGTTGAGAACGATGTCGAATTGATGTTTTCGGGTTTTCGGCAACACTCTCGTTTACAGCAGCAATGTTTTCAAGAGACCGACCGGTACGTTGACGCAAAGGATTCTTATTATCCATAATTAAACCAGTTTCTTCAAATTTTTTAACCACTCTTTGAATGGTTGACACATTGGGTGCACTTTCTCGGCTGAAAATTTGGCGAAGTTTGCGAGCGGTTTCAGCGTAACTTTCCCCATTTTTGTAATGAGTTTTCACAATTATAACGCGTTGGTCTTTCGAAAACCTCTCCATTTTTAATAATGGGAATAAACAGAGATGACAGCTGTCAAATTTCAGAGTTGCCACTTGCATGAAAAAAAAAATATTCCAATTTTAAAAAGTGCACTCTTACTGAGACACCCGATATAAGCATAGTTAATTGTTTAGTTTAGAAGCATTGACATTCTTAAGGTGGATGTGATGTGGGCTGTTAAAGTTCGTATATTATGTTCTCTATTTAAAAACATATTGCTATAATAAAATAATTCAAGGCAGATCTTTTTTATAGGCAACTTATTCGCTTCTATTAGTAAAAATGAGTGTTAGAACAATAACATATAAAATAAACCTAGCAAGCTAACAGCATAGCAAAGTGGCGAAGCAATCAGCTTTGTAGCGGTTTCTAACGGTTGCCGTTGAGCAATCAGTTTCAAAATAGGAGGTTCAGATGCCTGGGTGATCAGTAATCGATTGCTGAAAACAGAATTTGAAAATTCAAAACCGTTCTCGAGATAATCATGGGACAGACATCGTGAAATCAATAAGTGACTTCGCAAGCTTCGCCACTTAATAATTTTGTTAGCACTGAAAATATTTCTACAGCAATTTGTGTTTAATTGTTTAGCCTAGAGAGGATTGACTTTCTTGAAGTGTATAAGTTCTTATATATAAAAAAATCTATTGCAAACAAATTATGGCAAATTTATTTTCAATAGGCAATCCCAGTTTATATTTTAAATACAAAGAAAAAGCTGGTACGGTCCATGTGCAAAAGTTGCTAATTAATTATAAAAATTGTATGTATAGTCACATTCCCTGACTACAATAGAAGAAGTGTGAACATAAGGTCCAGCTGTAAACATCATAAGTATTTTAAAATTGTGTTAATGTACAAAATTACATGACACTAAATTATTCTTAAACACAATGGGCAGTATAATATTTTACTTCCAGATATGCAGGTTTCTCTGTCACGAAGTTTTCCTTCACCGCTGAGCACGTCGTAAATCAATACTTAAAATTGCAATTAATGTCATTGGTACTGGCGGGGATCTAGATCACCAATTCGCTCATGTAGTATGAAATTTTACTGCGAGCGCTTATTCCATTATCTAGCATGACTCATGGGTCTAATGGTCGTATTGATTATGATCATCATCGTGCTAATCATGTGGTCTTGTACCCGAGTGCGGTTGAAATCTTTTGTTAGGTTTATCCTGTCATGAAATTATCAGGAAGTTGGCGGTGTTTAACCCCGTGCCTCTGAAAGCACGTAATGCTATTGATCTTGCGCTTGGTCCCTTTAGGGTTGAGACGGATTACCATCCCATGGGAGTGGGGCAATAGAGGATAATCATGCCCTGCGCAGGTGGCTACTCTCCGTTGAGACTAGCCGTGATCAAAAATTCGGAATGGAGGACATTATTATTATTATCCCATGAGCTTCAACGTTTATCGAAAGTTTTAAAGACTATTTCATTTAAATAACAGCCTTATTAAAGTAGGGGAGACTGGGGACGGTTGACTATAGGGGCAGGTTGACTTACTGTCAAAAATACAACAATTCAACCAACTAGGCGCGAGAAACCGTTTTCTCCCCCGCTCAGGTACCGGGAGAGTGATCGTTTACGTACGTCGTTCGGGAGAAGTAGCATAATATCCAAAAACAACTCATGTAATTGTTTTCCTCCTAATGTATTTTATAGTATCGCCAATATACTCGTTGTTAGTTACTTGCAAGTCATTTAAAGTAAAATTTTGATTTAATTAATAGAATCAGGCGTTACTTTGCGGAAATCCATTATTATTATTATATATATACACATTATTATAACCGATAAGTGACAAAATAGTACAACAAATCGCTACTTATACACACTCCAGCGCCCTTAATTCTCATGTTGGTTCACTATTCGCACATACCTTACCTTTATAACAATAAACGCGGGATATGTACTTATTTAAAATGTACGTGTTATATATGTTCTGCTCTATGATTAATGCGTGGAATTAAAGAATGGTCAAAATTGTTACAAGTGTAATTTAAAATGACTACAACCACGTTTGAAACAAGCGGGTCGTAAGAAAAAAGAGAATTGGTTTGCAAATTTCCATTTCCAGTGTTAGTGACAAAAGGAAGAAGATGCTGTAATACACACGTTATTTTCATGAAATATTATTAAACTTGTTTCTTTTAATTCCGGATTTAGCACCAAATAAAAACGGAACATACTAAAAATTGGTGTAATTATATCTCATGCTATAAATTACGATATGTGCTACTGTTGCAAATTAATCAGATATTGGTTTGTAGCGTATCGAAAATGTAACGTAAACCTTTCTATTCTACATATAGCATGTTAATACACAAAAATTAAGAGATAAATGTGCACAGAGCAGTGATAGATGCAAGCATTTATCTTACTTTGTCTTTGTTGATAAAATATAATTTAAACATCATGAAGGGCCAGCCTGAACATGTCGTGCTCTACATAGAATGAATTTCCTATTGGCTTCAACACAAATGTTTGAAAGTATGCATGTGGCTGATCCTCATCTGTCTGTTGCAATAATAAAATATTAAAAATTACATTATGACACGACGAGTTATTTTAATGAAACATTTCTTTGTCTATGCAAAGTAACCTTCAAATTATTCAAACTAAGCACAGGATTGGAAATGTTTGTCAACATCTGTCTCTCAACTTCAGTTACATGTGTTTTCGAGGAAAGAGTGAATGGGTATTCACTGCACTAAGGCATTGTGATTTACCATCTTGAGCTACATCGCCACTTACAAACCGGGCTTTCATAGTAGTCTCTAAAACTGGCTTACATAGGTACCAATTTAAAATATTTTTAATTTTACATTGTGATCATAAATTACACATAATTTTAAAAGTTTAAAAATTATTGCTTATGTATGGATGAAGATAAATTCCAATGGTATATGGTACTAAAGCATTTTTGAAATCTGACTCATTCGGGATGCTGGCTGTCGGATTAAGATTTTAAGTGACTGAATGAATATTTAAAACTTAGTTCTGTTTATTTTTTGGAATGTTATTAACCTTGCAGTGTTCTCACAAGTTGTTACATATTACAATATTATATTTGCATGTCTTTATAACTTGATAGGAATATAAAATAACTATTTTTATTTTTTTAAAGGACACCTACATAGCTTAGTTTATTTATAGAAGTCATGGTGCAAAATTTCTTTAAAGATCCACAAAACTATAAAGAAAATATGAACCAGCAAAAAGACAAAACAATACATTGATGTTATTGATAAATTCATTCCTCAACAAGGATTACAGTAAAACTTTTATTAATTAAAAATGATCATTGGATAATTAAATATCCGGATATGCCTAACAGTGCAGATAACACTAAAATAAATTCAAAAGTAAGTAAGCCATCTGATTATAAACAAATTCAAATATGGAATCACTATCAATACATGGTCATGCATTTAGGCACTTTTATTATCTAAGGCAGCGCTTAATCCCATATGATGGTAAGTGGTGACGGAGCCGAAAATGGTGAAGCACACTGACTTAATAAAAGCCTTATACAAAGGTTTTTTTGTTGTTGCAGAGTATATTAATTAGAGATGAAACGCATATCCAGTAACTATCCGGTATTTGGCCTAATATTTTTATTTTATTTATTTTATTCTTTATTGGAACAAATATTTATACAAAAGGCGAGCTTCGTGCTATATACTATCTTGTCAAAACGCCTATCTGACCGGATACCGGATAACAAACGGCTACCTGGCCAGATACCAGATTCAAAAAAATACAAAATATAGTAATTTATTTATGTCACTTAACAAGTATAATCAATCAATAATCACAAATTTTCATTTTAAAACTTAGAAAATTAGTACCTACTCGTCGTACTGCACTAAGGGCAAATTATATTTCTTTTTATAGGAGAGGGGCAAATGAGCATACGGCTCACCTGATGGTAAGTGACTACCGCCGCCCACGAACAACTGCAACACCAGGGGAATTGCAAATGCGTTCTCGCCCTCGCAATTTCTTCTCAATTTCTTTAAAAGGTCCTCAAGTCGTATCGGTCCGGGAAAATCTCCGGTGGTAAACTATTCCACTGAAAGGTTCGAATGTAACATCGTATGTCGTCGTACTTAGTCGTCGACGATTCGAGCCGCTCTGCACTGGATGCGGTCAAGTGGAAGGAGCTGGCACTGGGGAGCCCCTGCCCAGAGATGGGAACAGTATTCCATTTGAGGCCGAACCTGCGCTTTGTAAAGTTGCAGGCGGTGTGCCGGCATGAAATACTGTCCCGCTCTGCTGAGCACGCCGAGCTTTTTAGAGGCCAATTTGGCCTTCTCTTCCAAGTGACCACGAAACTGCACATCATTCGATATGTCGACGCCGATGATTCCGATACTTGCTGAGGCAACAAGGGGGAATGCTTTAAAACTGAGGAGATACGACAAAGGGATTCTTTTTAGCGGGAAACGCGCAAACTTTTGGCTTCTGAGGATTAAACTGGACTAGATTTAGTCGCCCCCAATCGGAGACTTTGTTCAGCAAAGACTCGACTTCAGAACAAGTTTGCTCCGGTACTCGGCGACGTTTTCCAGAGAAATTTTGGCGCGGCAGATGTATAGAGCATCACCAGTGCTGTCATTCGCATAGCAATGAATGCTACCAGTTTGTAACATATCATTGATATGCAGAAGAAATAATATTTTCTCTGGTTGGTGCATAAATACTATTTTCTCTGCATTGAAAGGTAACAAGCGGTTTCGCCTGTTTTTATAAACAAGGCCAGCTTCAGAAAAGTTTTTCGCTGTACACACTGCCACTGCTGCAGGGTGCTGATAGATTTTGGCAAACTTTGATAAATTATGGTATTGTGTATCATTAGCTGCCCACCAAATAAGGCCGAAAAACATAAGGGTCACGATGACGAGCAATTCGCACTGACTTTAGATAAAAATCAATCTAACATGCAATCGCATTTCTTCTTTCATGGTGAGATAGCTAGTATTGTTTTCATTTGCTACTTCGTTAAAGCAATCCCAGAATGTGTAGTAAAGATTCATGAGATACAGCTGACTCTGTCTCCTCTCCTCTACGTTTTTAGCCTGTGTTGAAGGTGAACTGCTACTGGAGGACTCTTCGCAGACATTTTTAAGTATTCAAATAGAAATTTTAATATTGCATAGTAAACAAACAGTAAGTTTAGGATTGTCACTGTTTATATCAAAATGTTGTTATAAAGGCAATCTTATCTTTATTGCTATCATTTATGTCGTTAAATCTGTTAAGAAATATAAAAATACTTCAAATAACAAAAGCAAGTATTTTAGTAACCTCAAAGGGTCGTGTTTGCAATCAATACAACAAGTCAATGAAACAATTGCTAACTTCACTCATGAACAGAAAGACCTGAAGTCGCCCGAGTCCTGCGTGCACACGATCGCCACAACTAGCGCCACCTACGCAAGTTCGCCTCTTGCGATGCACCAAACGGCAATGTTCGGCAGAATATCCGGCGAAAAGACTGGCCGAATATCGGTATCTGGCCAAACAGCTATCCATTTCATCTTTAATTTTAATATTATAACTTGATGTGTTTTATTAGTAAATAAAGTTTTTGAATTGTTTTTCAAATAGTTGTACATACCTGCAATCTACCCAGGACATTGATTAAAACTCCACCATCAAACATTGGTTGTGAATCAACAGATGTTACTAGTCTAGTAATTTTTTGAAATGTCAGACTCTGCAAAGAAAAGAGTATATTAAAATTAATAATATATTATGAGATTATACATTATGGAAATATATGCATAACCGTAACTTATACTCTTGATTAAGACACCTTTCAAACGAAAAAACTTAATCAAAATCGGTTCAACCGTTCAGGAGCTATGATGCCACAGACAGACATACAGACACACAAATACACACTACAAACATATCCTGTTTTCTTTGGGGTTTAAAAAAGAAGACATACTGGCAACTGGCAGTATATAAATTAGATGTATATGTCTGAGATTTTAACACTTAAAATAATTTTGGCTTAGCTTTCCATTGACGTCAGTCGAGTTTGGTGTTGATACGTATTTTTACAGAAAAGTTACACTATTATAAGCACACACACAAAGTTTCAACATGCGGAAACGCGTAATTTTTGAGAAAAGAATTATTGAAAATCAATTATTCTTGCAATGTTTATGTCTAATCCTACCATAAAACTGGCGCCATTTTGTAATGTCACTGTCGACGTCAATAGGGATGTCGATTCTTTCCGAAAAAGGTCGATTTTTAAATCGATTCAAATCGTAAGCTGATGTATCGGTTCACAAAAAATCGATTTCTAAAATATCTATATTTTTTTAATGTTTCTATTTATAATGTAAATATAAACCCATTTTATGAAAAACAAGAAAGATACCATGATAAATGATCTCTTATGGAAATTTGTTTTATTTAACAGTACCTATTAGGGCAGATAACAAATAAAATAGGTTAGGTTCAACTTATGTCAAAGAACCGAATAGATTGACCCCGACTCCACCTGGTACGAGTCTGTCCTACCCCTAGAGTGGTTTTATAGAGCCGGAGGCGCGTAGGGGGAGCAGCCTCCGCCTGCTGTAACAAATCGTAGGAGGGATGCCTGCGATTTGTTACGCTAAGGCGTAGAGGCTGCTATACCCGCAGCGCCGGAGACGTAGCAGTCTCAAAATAGATACAGAAATCATTCTGAATCAGTCCCCTTATTTTTTTATGATTAAGGGGATTTTTTTTCTCATAAAATGGATTTATATTTACATTATAAATGCAAACATGAAAAAATATCGATATTTTAGAAATCGATTATTTGGGAATCGATACATCAGCTTACAATTCGAATCTATTTAAAAAATCGATCTTTTTCGGAAAGAATCGACATCCCTACTGACAATAATAATAAAAATGGCGTCAGTTTCACGGTAGGAATTGACTAAATATTGCAAAATGATTTGATTTACAATATTTTTTTCTCAATAAGTACGTGTTTCCGCATATTGAAACTTTGTGTGTGTGTTTATAAAAATGTAATCTTTCTGTAAAAATATGTATCAACACCAAACTCGACTGACGTCAATGGAAAGTCTTTCCATAATTTTTCCTGTTACTTATTTGTGATTAAAAACTGTCTTTTAAAGAAAAGATAATTTTGAATTAGAATCTGTTTCACAAGTGTCAAATAAAAAAATGAGAAAATATCAAAATTTGCTTAGAATGTAGTGCTGTGGCTAAGGACCTGTTTTGTGAGAAGTACTTATAAAACCATACTTCAAACCTGTGATAAGACGTAAAGTAAAAAAAACAAGATCCAAAATAAAAACAATTTGCCTTTTTTCAATCACTGGCTTTAGCTAAGTACCCCAATTGCTAGGCCACACTATCAGTGAATGTACAACTTTAAATAATGGTGAACATGCCACTAAGTGTACATAAATTGAAGGCTTTGACTTACATTTAATTTTTCCATAATTTTTACCGCACCCTGCAACTGCACTCCTTCAAAGGTCATAAATGATGTTTCAACCTGAAAATTTACCAATAACAATAAAAATGTTTAATACATTATGTCATTATTTTAAGGTATTATAGATATCAAACAAAGGCTGTATAAGCTCCAATGTCAAGTCAGTCCTGGGAGTGACAACAGTAAGTTAATGAAATCTTACCAATCTCTAAAATATTTTTTTACGTAATAGGCTTCCAAATCCTCAGCAAAAGACAACACCTAAACATTAAGTTTCCTACCATGAAAAATAATAAGTATTATTTTACAACTTAATATTATTTCTATAGGTGAAATCATATAAATAAGGAACAAATAAATAAATACAAGGGACAGTAACAAGTAAAACGATGGACCAGAGATGATATAGACAAGAACATCATTCAAGGAGTACTTAATGTCTCCTTAATGACTCATGTCCTAATTTGGTTAGATTACTCGTTTAAGAACGACCAAATTGTATGTGGCAAATAGTTGGTGTAGTAAATATACTGGTGTTGTGTTAAATGATAAACCTAGGTTTTTGGGATGTCATCTTAGATGCAGGCATATTTACAATCTTTTGATTATTTACTTATGTGAAATGCATAATTTTTTAGATTTAGAATACACTTGTGGCATTCATTGACATATCATCATATCGTAGTAGACTGCATCATTCAATCAAAAAATCATTTGTTAATAAAAATTGCAATTGCATTCAGCAAAAAAATGGAATACAGCTAATAAGCTAATAAATAGTTTTTCAACCACTATAATATTATTTATATGCATTTATCAATACAGCTTATGCCCAAATATCAATAATATCGTAATATATATTATAGTTCATATTTCTCTACCATTGCAATCTAGTGTAGTAAGTGTGGCAGGTTGCTTTCGGATACAACTATGTGTTATAAAGTCTGAATAATAATTGAAATAACTATGTTTTGTAAATATTGTCAAAATATAAAAGCAGCTTACAAGATCAACAGGGAAAGTAAGTTGTGGTGAAAACCTTATTTCATAAAATTTACAAGGGAGTTGCCCTAAACATATTTTCTTTACCTCAAAATTAGGTTTACAAAGTTATTGCCTAAAGTAATTACAAAATTTCACTTATAGAACTTACAAATATCGACATACAACCTAAGTATATCAAAAAATATAATATTAATTATGTTAATAAAGGTATTACATTATAGTACTCCGGAAGAAATTATGATGGCTAACACATTAAAACAGGCAAAATTAAATTATAAAGGGTTCCTTATAGCAATTGAACTCTTTAAAACATCAGCAAATTGAAAATTACTTCAATATTTTAATAATAAAATAGCGGTAGATTGTGTGCTTACAATCGCTTAATTTTATGAATTGTAGATATAAAGTTCAACAGGTTATGACAGAAAAAAGGTTAAATATTCCGATAAATTCGAGATAACAAAAAAAAATTAAATCTAGCTATGACAAATTCCTTAAACTATTTAAAAGAACTATTTCAATCATGCAGTGGCAGTGTAACAATATACACTTCCCCAGTAGGTGTTGTAAGAGCGAAAGAAGTTAACTAAGACAGGAGATGAGCATCAGCATCTTCTTGATATTAACTCAGTCATAAAAAAAACTGCCAACTCCCAAACATAGCAAGTATAGAATTCCCTCCTAAGACGCGGTGGCTCCCCATAGATTGCCTATGTTCAGCAGTGGACTTTTATAAACTGTAATAGATGGATAGATGAATAGATTTTAAAGAAAAATGAAATAAAGATCTATGAAGATATAGTACATAATAATAAAAACATCTTTGGCGGGAGAGCCTAACTTAACCTAAAATATAAAGCCTCTGATAAAATATTTCAGAAAATTATAAATTATAAGAGGGGACCGTCACCACGATAAAAGTATGAAAAAATACCAACATTGTACATATTTGCCAGAGTTGGCCGCTGAGCTGGGTCATCGAATAGTGTGTAATACTGTTGTACAAAACCTTTTCCGATGGCATCGTACTGAGGGTTTAGCGCCATTTAGATAAATTAATAGTCCTAAAATCACTTCCAAGAAGAAGAAATCACGACAAAATATTAATATACAGGCCTTTGAGGTGGCCGTTGCAATCGCAATCCCCTTTCACACCGCAACAAAAAAATGGCAAGCGATTCACAGTGCTGCCGTTATAAAATATTTTTATTTTTAAAAATTAGTGTTGCTGTTGCTACCTAGGAATTACCATTTACCAATATAGATTGCTGTATATTACCACAAAAATTACTCTGTGTATTATAGCCTGATTACACCTACAGAGAGTTTTGGCAGGAACTTGACCGGCTGCGGTTTGTTGCTCCTGTATTACGGTTTAAATAATGGTTTGAAGTGGACTTTGCTATGTAAAAGTGGTTCGATTTTGTGTATTAAGTGTGTGCGCATATGAACTATTAGTGGAAACTGTGAAACAAGTGTCTGATGGTGATGTGATTCTCAAAATAAGGTGTCACCAACCATCAGCTGTCTGCTGGCTCAAATTGCCGTCAAAATCTCCCAAGGGCTACACAATGTGACGCATCAACATATTGTGAAGCATTATACTATGAAGGATAATTATAATATAGTGTAACTTCAGGCCCAGAAGGGCTAGATCCCAGAGCCGTAAAGCAAGTTATTAAAAAAATTACACCTACAGAGTAGAGGGGCGAGACAGTAAAATCCTTCCTTCTCCGTCGAAACATTGAAGCAAACGAGTAGCTGTTCACACGTATTTTGGAAGTTGCGGTGAGACAGTCAGTCAGTTCAGATTACCGAAAAGTACAGACGTGATGTATCGAAAAAAATTGATAAAAAAATCAATCAATTTGCTTATACCTTTGCTGACAGAAGAACTGACTGAATTGTTGGCACACGAGAAATCTCGCATTTAGAGAACCAGAAATATTCATTTTTTCGATTATCGATATACAACGTGGCCGCTACAATGGTGACTTTAATTTAACACACGGATAGGGCCAGTGCACATTAATCATATCATATTAAATTTGATAGGTTAAAATAACTCGTAAATGGAAAAAACAAGTTTTTAAACAAACTTAATAATAAAAAGTAATTAAAATTGGGATCGCCCTTGCAAAATTTCATTCATGATATTACTTACCTAGCTGACTTACGTTAACTCAGAGCGGCAACGTGTCGCTTCGCGCGCTAGCAACCGCGCAACGCATCTTGTACCTACTCGTCATCGGTCCGATTATTTGACGGCTTATTATCAAAGAAGCCGAGCGGTGCCTAAGAGTACCTACAGTGGAGGTGCTTAGTGAAACAATTATCACATCACCCTCTCTTGTTACTATTAGTTATAACTGTCATCACTAATCACTGCTTTTACTTGTCTTTATTTTAAATTTTCTTATTTTCAATGAGACCACCGTGTTGGCTAGAGATTGCAGTCCGGATTTTTCTATAATTGAAAATAATTTAGATTTTTTAGTTTTATAAATCCGGTTTTTGAGACTCAAATCAGGTTTTTTCGGATTTTAGTCAAAATTGAGTTCAATGGATCATCATCATCATTACAGCCTTTCATAAGTCCACTGCTGAACATAGGCCTCCCCCAAAGAATGCCACAAAGCACGGTCCTGAGCCACCTGCATCCATCGACTTCCTGCATGTCTTACCAGGTTGTCACTCCATCTCGTGGGGGTCGACCTACACTTCGCCTACCGGCACGAGGCTGCCACTCAAGAACCTTTCTTCCCCATCGGTTGTCGGCTCTTCGAGCTATATGCCGGCCCACTGCCACTTCAGCTTACTAATCCGTTGGGCTATGTCGGTTACTCTGGTTCTACTGCGAATATCCTCATTTCTAAATTTAACACACAGAGAATCCCCGAGCATAACTCTCTCCATAGCTCGCTGAGCGACCTTGAGCTTCCTCATACGGCCAGCAATGAAGGACCACGTCTCAGATCCATAAGTCATCACTGGCAACACGCACTGGTTGTACAATTTCGTTTTAAGGTTTTGAGGTATGTCTGACGAGAAGATGTGTCGTAGTTTCCCGAACGCTACCCAGCCTAGTTATATCCGTCGATTGACGTCTCGGTCGAAGTTGGACTTACCTAGTCGGACTATTTGGCCCAGGTAAACATACTCGTCAACAACTTCGAGCTTAGTGCTCGCAACAACTACCGGCATAGGTGTGACATGGACATTAAACATGATCTTTTTTTTTTTTTTTTTTTTTTTTTTTTTTATAGGATTGGGTGACAAACGAGCACACAGTCCACCTGATGGTAAGTGGTTACTGTGACCCATAGACATCTACATCTATCCTCAACAAAGACTCAAGATGCAGATGCGTTGTCACCCGTGAGGACTAAGATGGAATGCCTCTTTGCCAGTAAAATGGGTCTCCGGTTCTCTACACTCACCATACGAAACACAGCAGCGTTAAGCTGCTATTTTACGCTGGTTTTCTGTGAGAGCGTGGTCCTTCCCCGGTCGAGCCGACCCATTCGTGCTACAACCATAATATAGCTGCAGCATGGCTCTACCACGTTAAAAATCTTTGTTTTGTCCATATTCATCCTAAGACCTATTCGTTGGGAAACACTATTGAGGTCATTGAGCATAGCGCTAAGGTCCTCCAGAGATTCTGCCATAAGAACTATATCGTCGGCAAATCGAAGGTGAGTTATGTACTCGCCATTGATGTTAATAACGTATCCTTTCCAGTCCAGAAGCTTGAAAACGTCTTCCAATGCAGCGATGAAGATTTTCGGGGATATATCATCACCCTCTCTTACACCTCTCTGCAATTGGATAGGTTTTGTACTCTGGTTCTGTACTCAGATAGCCATCGTAGCTCTACTGTACAAACACTTCAGCACTTCGATATACCGACAGTCAACTTGGCACCGCTGAAGGGACTGCAGCACCGCCCAAATTTCGACGGAATCAAAGGCTTTCTCATAGTCCACATACGCCAGATATATTGGCAAATTGTACTCCTCGGACTTCTGTACAATTTGCCGAAGGGTATGTATGTGGTCTATGGTGCTAAAGCCCTTTCGGAAACCGGCTTGTTCGGGAGGCTGGGAGTCGTCAAATCTGCACGCGAGACGATTCGTAATGACTCTCGAAAACAGCACGTAGACGCCGCTCAGAAGGGAAATCGGTCTGTAGTTCTTCAAGAGAGTTTGTCACCTTTCTTGAAGAACAAGACCACCGCACTTCTGCTCCACTCCTCCGGTGTAACGCCACCATGGAGGACGGAATTAAAGAGCTTCTGAAGGACTTCACGTACCAGATTTCCACCCGCTTTCAGAAGCTCCGCTGTAATTCCATCCTCGCCCGGGACCTTACCGTTTTTAAGTTGCTGGAGAGCCATTCTAATCTCGCTCAGACTGACGTCCGGGATATCTTCGGAATAGTGTCGGATAAGACTCGCTCTTGGATCGTTACTCACACTTGCGTGTGGCTCCAACGATGACGTGGACAGCTGCCAATAGAACCTCTCAATCTCATTCAAAATCTCAGGTGCCCCGGAAACGATGCTGCCACACTCGGTCTTCAGCTTTGACAGTTGGCTCTTTCTGGCAGACAGATCTCTGGCAAAGACTTTGGAGCCTTGGTTCCGCTCGATCGCTTCTTCAATACAAGCTGGAGATCTGTCTGTTCAGTTGCCTGTATGCTGTCAAATCTGTTGAAGAATGTAGCTTCATCTTCCGTCTAATAGCCATGAGATTGAGAGTGTGATTGAAGAGTTTTTGTGTTCTTCTGTGGCGGGTCTTGCAGAACTTAGCTCCGACCGCATGGACAGTTTCAACGAGCTTTTCATTCATATCGTCCACTTCATTGCAGTCTTCTAGGCACTGAAAACGGTTTTGTAACTCGAGCTGAAAGGTTTCGGGACTTTGGATTAGAGCACGAGGGGGACGGAGCGTTGACTTCATTAGACGAGATCTCTCCAACTTAACGTTTAGGTTCAGTGTGCCTTTGACCATTCGGTGATCGCTACCAGTTTTTACCCTCACGATCACGGAGACATCACTGAACAGTTGTCGTCTGGTCGTCATAATGAAGTGGTTCAGTGTGCCTTTAACCATTCGGTGATCGCTACCAGGTTTTGCCCTCACGATCACGGAGACATCACTGAACAGTTGTCTTCTGGTCGTCGTAATGAAGTGGTTCAGTGTGCCTTTAACCATTCGGTGATCGCTACCAGTTTTTACCCTCACGATCACGGAGACATCACTGAACAGTTGTCGTCTGGTCGTCATAATGAAGTCAATCTCATTTTTTTTGAGGAACCTTCGGGCCTCGACCAGGTCCACTTCCTGTGGGGCCGCTTCTGAAAAAAAGAGTTCATCATAAAGAGTCCCTCTTTCTCCATGAAGTCGGCCAGCTGCTGGCCCCTTGGGTTCCGTTGCCCTATTCCAAATTTCTCTACTTTCAGCTCACCGTTCTCTCTTGTGCCTAGTTTTGCATTGAAGTCTCCCATTAACACCACATATTAGGTTTTGGAGGAATGCATGGCTCTAGAGATATCCTCATACATTTCCTCCACCTCCTCATCAGGGTGTGCCGAGGTTGGTGCGTAAACCTGTATGACCTTAAGGGAATATCGTTTGGTGATTCAGAGTGTAAGGTACGCAACCCTCGTCGACACACGCTCAATCTTTACAACGTTTTTAACGGGAGACTTGTGGACGATAAATCAGACACCTCCTTGGGACAGATGTTCGCCCTCCCGGTGATATAGCAAGTTGCCGGATTCGAGGATTATCGTGTCCTCCCCCTCTCTTTGGACTATGATAATCCTATAATATTCCAGCGCAACTTGTCTATTTCTTCTTCCAGCTCCAGGATCTTCTCGACAGTCCTCACGCTGCGTGCGTTATAAGTTGCCAGGTCAAGTCGTCATAGGTGGCAACCAAACATCCACCGGAGATTCTTAGCACGCCCTGCCCCGCCGTTAACATGGTCGCCACCGTAGCCAGGAATAGCGGGGCCGCCGGGGACAGGGGGCCGTCTCTTTGTTACTCTCATCATAGGGGGGTATTTGCCATAGTTGCCGCGCTAGGTGAGTTGGAAACCGCAGTTTTTTATTGTAAGTTTGTAGTTATCAGAAAAATGCTACTGCCCATCTC